ATAACTAAAAAAAAAAATCTACAGAGGTAATTTGCTAGTATGCCACAACATTAGAATCATAACGGTTACCTGTGGGCTTAAATGAACTTTAGAAGGCTTGTCTTTCTGCCAAATACGAGTGTAATTTTCTGCTAACATCGATACATTTAGTTTGTCATTTTTCACTTGATAAATTATATGCTCAAATCTTGCTGAGGATTCCAGTGGTTCAATTCCATAGCTGATATTTTCAAGCTGAAGAAATCCCCTAAAAATTTAGAAGATAATAATTATAAAAATCCTGTAATTTGAAGTGGCATGAAAAATGAGAAACCATAGTAAAGAACATGTTTTAAGCCCACTCCCACCTTCTTTTCCTATTTTTTTTCTTGCAATGTATATTAGTAACAGCTACCACATCTGCCTTAAATTTGCTCACATTTTAAAGAGCAAAATGTAGTAAAGAGTATGCTGTAATTTATAGGTAGCAATCACATCCATTCAGGATACATTAATTAAGACAAAATTACCAAGAACCAAGATTTTTTTTGAGAATTCTAGTAACAAAGTCCCTGTTTTTACAGAGGTTAGAATAAGGGAAAGCAGGTATGTAGAGTGCATATCTAAAGAGGTTGATATCTATAAAAACCATATTCAAAGAATGCCAATTTTCTGAGTTGACATGACAAATTCTGGAAATTAGGCAGCTAAAACCAAAGGGAGGTTAGAGAGAGCTTTTTTTTTTTTCCCTGTGCTCTTATGAACCTTCTTCTTATGAACTTATCATGTCTCCCGTCATCAATGACAAAAATCCCTTACCCGCGTTCTTTACCCCTAAGGGATCTTCTTAGTTAGTTGATTTATGTCTGGTACTAAGCTGACAGCCCACAATATGTGCCTATTATATTGAAATAACTAATTAATACCATTTTCACAATTATGTGAGCTAACTGATAGAGAATGCAACAATCACGCTTAGGGGATGTTCCAATGTTCCCTTCCACAACACCACCCCTTTCTACACAGTCTCCTGGAGTAGACCCCGTGTCCACTCAGGGTCCCGGATTGATTTGATTTGAATGGGCACTTAGGTCCAGGTAGTAATGTTGATATAAATAAAATAAGGCCACTATAAAGGAAATTTTCAGATTTGGATGTCCCATAAACCTTCCCAGATTTGTGTTTGCCAAACCACAAAGTTTCACTTTAAGTATATCCTAAGTTCTTCAAATAGAAACATCCTATAAGATGCTACTACCTGAGACCTGAACATATACTGAGTGTCACAGATGAATTTGGAAATTCTACAACATATCCTTGATAATGACAAGGCATCTGAAAAACAGTATAGAAAGGCAAATATATAAATTCTTTATGAATAAACAAGTATTGTCAAACATTTCACAAGACTCAAAAACATTAAAAGATTTAATAATAATAATATAATGAATCATACAGCATTATTAATGCAAATTTTCAAGAGAAAAGGTTTTTGACACCTGTCTTTACTTTGCACCACCTGGATGTCCATGGGTATTTTCCTGTAACTGGGTTTCATCTCTATCCCATGTCATTTCTATGCTCTAGTCAATCATAGATCAGAGTTATACAGGATAAAACATTTTTAGTAAACTGTCAACATGGAACAAACACATCTTTTTTTTTTTTTTTTGAGACAGTCTCACTCTTTTGCCTGGGCTAGAGTGCCGTGGCGTCAGCCTAGCTCACAGCAACCTCAAACTCCTGGGCTC